TATTGTTTATTGCATACGGCCAATATCATAACATGTTTTGAATATTCTTTTTATGTAAAAAAATATTAGAAGTTTTGAAAATGTATTTTCGCATGGATTTCTTAAACACTACAAAAAATATTTTCTTGCATTCTAGATTTTACAATATGTTTGTAAAACTCCAAAGAATATTGTCAAATATTTCAAAAAATATAAAAATCTTATTTTTTGGAAAATTCATCTATTACTTATCGTTAATGTTTGTATAAAGAAATCTCAAGGGGATGAATATCCAAAATATTATTAGAAATAACTTGTTATTATTTACTGTTAATATTTGGATAAAGAAACCCTAAGTGGTAAATATCCAAAAAACATTCCTAGGAATAATAAGTCATTGCATACCCTTGAAAGAAGTCATGATTATAATTGAGGACATTTCAATTTCTAACTCCATGATTTACGAGCCGTGAGAGTATGGAACACTAAGGCAAAAATAGGCTTTTAAAGCGCCTTGACTTTCTTTATATTTCTAAATTTTTGTCCTTCCTCCTTGTGATTTACGAGTTGCAAAACTCTTAAAATACTAAGGAAAAAATAAGCTTTTAAAGCACATGAAATCTCCTTGGATTTTCTTCTTAAAAAAATTAATCTGAATCAAACACAGATTTCAAGAAATCTGCATTGGTTCTCCTTAGTATTTTGTAGACATATCTAAGGGTGTGATCCACATTGCCCAAGGGTTCTTTCTTTTTAGACTTTCAGTTAATGTTTATTCATCATAGCAAAACATATCCTAGTAAAACATCAACACCATAGAAATTATAAAACAAACCAAACGTCAAGCAGCTTATCTTAGGTAAGGCGTACTAGGGGTGTTAATACCTTCCCTTTACACAACCAGTCCCTTGCCTTAGAATCTTTGAAAGACCAATTAGGTTTTCTAGTGACCATAATACTAGGTGACAACTCCCTTATTCACAAAAACAAAATAACCCAAAATTAATCAAGGATCACCTCTTTGATGCGAAGGTGCAACAGTATCAATGAGGTTTCATCTATACCGATATTTCTTAAATTGATTAGTTGATCTTGAGCAATTAAGTGACTAATGATGTTAGTAAAGATTATCAACATTTATGGCCTATGGTGAATTTTTCATCACAATTAAAGCAAAGGCCTTGAGCTTGCCTCCTTTGCTTTTCTTCCCAAGTGAGTCTTTTCATTCTTGAGGTTGGTGTGGTTTTTGTTTGTGCTAGAAAGTCAAGTTATAGATGAAAGAATTGTGGTGGCCGTGTGAATTTTCATTAGCGAGGCTAAAAGCTTCCTTTAAGGAGTGTGGTTTGAACATCTGAATGCCTTCTGTAATTTCTAATTTAAGGCCTCCCATAAATGTCCCTACCAGGGCCTTCTATGTCCATCCTTGCACCTGATTTCCCAACTTTTTGAACTCTTTTTAGTAGTCTCGTAATGAGCCAACGTGTGTGACCCTTAATAAATCTTCATCAAAATCTTCACAATCAATTAGTCTGAAACGAGCCCAAAGTTCTTCCTTATAAACCTCTCATGTCAATTTTCTTCCTTTCTTTATATAGGCACGGTGTAGCTATTGTCTCTATTGATTAGCTTCACTTGCAAGGTGGAATGACACTAATGACACTTTTTATGTTGCCATGGTGCCTTGGTATTCAAAAAATTGTTCCACTCTTTTGAACTATTTACTTGGATCATCACTAGAGTATCTTGGAAATTCAAGCTTTGTCAACTTGGATGAGAACTTCTGTCTTCCTCCTTTTGCAAGCTTCTTAAACTCTTCCTTATTATGGCGAGAATGACCACTACGGTCATTAGTGTTACTTCTAAATGAGTCTTTAGTTGAGAGCAATGCTAAAGATAGCTCATTGATGACTTCTTCCATGTAATGTAACTTTTCAATAAGACCAAGTTCTATCCAACTAATACTATCTTGAAATATTTAAAGCCTAGTGTCACTAGGTCAATTTTTTGTCCCAAAATAGATCTCATGGCAGTCTAGTCCCACTAGACTCGGCCTTTCCCTCACCTGTTCATTCATGTTTTACCTACGACTAGTTTGTCGCTTAAACCCAAGAGATTACCACACTTTTTCAATGTCATAAGTAAGCTGAATACGACTAATGAATGGGAACATAATGAACAACATAGCAGATTACAAGAATAAGTCTCAACCTTTTCATTACTCAACTAAAGGATTACCTAAAGTCTATCTTATGTGCTATGTATATTTTCATTCTGCCTCAACTTACATGCCACATATTTTTATAGCCTACCTATGTATAACACAATGAAAGTTACATAAAGAAACTACCCCTAACTTTCTGTACAGGTAGAGCACTAATTATCCCATGTTCTGACCACTTCTTTCCCATATAACAAATTGTCGCAGCTGCCAACAACTACTCCCAAAATTGCTACAACTGCATTGGCATGTTCTTTCACAAGCCAATTGCCCACTACCAACACACATATTGCGAGCGTAACTGCTTCGTATGCCTTGCAATTAGTACTTAAAAGAGCATTTCTGGTATTTAAATTTTTGACATCGATCCTTTTCTGTAAATAAAAGAGATGTGTCGATAAATAATATTTATTTTAAAAAATAAAAATTATTTTTATATCTATGAGAAATCAGTATATCCATACTTGAGAATCGGGTTTTGAACCCACGAACGATGAAATGATAAGATGGGTGTTGGACCCGTGTCGTTATTTCTTTTGTATTTCTTTTTAATTTTTTTTGTTTTTTTACATGCAAAAAATTTTACAAGTATTTATATATAAAAATCATAAAAAATTACTTGAGTGCCACTGTATAGGTAAAAGACTGAAATACCCTTGAATTTATCGGAAATTTATGAAAATGCTCTTGATGGCGCGTGTGATTCACACGCGAGTATTGTTGGAGGCGGCAAAATTTCTCGGCGAGATTCCAGCAAACAGATGGTTGATTCTAGTAGATCTGAGGGAGAGGATTCTGATGACGATGGTTTCGACTTCCGTTAATGGCTGATGAGGGAGAATCGTCGGCTTGAAGCATCTGGTGGCCGATGACAGTCGCGATCTTTTTTGCTTTAGAGGGGGCGATTCACCTTTCATCGGGTGGCCGATGACAGTCGCGATCTTTTTTCGGCCAGATAAGGTGGTGAAAACGCGTAAAACTACTAGGGTTTTGCTTTAGAGGGGGCGATTCACCTTTCTGTGGTGGTTTGGCGACTTAAAACGACCGGAAATGGGAGATCAGATGAGAGAGAGAGAATCGCTGACGAGAGAAGAGAGAGGCTCCGAGATGTTGCTACGGTGTGAACGCGAGCATGGTGCATCGATGCCTCTGAAGGGTATGAACCATTCGATCGCGGATGAACTGATCTTGTAACTGTGATTGACTTGATCTGCAAGTTGATCAAACTATCCGGATGAGCTGAGTTGTGATCTAGTATGGCGCGGTGCACCAAGTGTTTGGTACACCGAATGACGTGGCATAGCAGGATCGAAGAGCAAATTATTTTAAGGGCTGAGATGGATTTGGCTTTTAATCCAGTGTGGTAAGCCATATTGTATCCTATTAAATCAAATGCTTAGAATTAAACACTATTAGATCTAACAGTTAGGATATTTTTGGTATTTTTCAAATTGTTTTTTTAAAAAATCAATATCTTACTTGCGTGAAAAAAAAAGTAGAAAAAACATGAATAGTATCTAAATAGTAACAAAATAAATAGTAAGCTTTCTCGAGTTTTCTCTTCTTTTTTTTCTTCTCCCTCCTTTTTTTTTCTTTTCTCTTTTTGCTCTGGCATATTTTCACAGGCTATTTATAGCCAATGAAGAGGGGACAGAAAATCATGTGGTGTGCAAAATTTCAATGTTACGCCTACTATGATAAAACTGTATTATTTTTTTTGTTTTATTATATATGATAATAATAAATATTTATAGGGGTAAAATTAAAGACTCAAATCAGTATTAGAAAAAGCTTTTCAACCGCTAAAAATCAATTTTAATTACCGAAAATTATATTGCAACATTAAAAAAAATCTTTATATGGGTATCAACTTGGTGGACCGGGTTTTTTGACCAAAAATAGTGTGAAACTCATTTTTTATCCCATTCAACATGGTGGGACCCATATTGACCCGGTGGACTTGGTTTTGACCAAAAATGACAGTTTTGACCCGAAACGGCCCAAAACTCATTTTTTATCCCGGTCAACATGGTGAGAGCCATATTGACCCAGTGGACTCGGTTTTGACAGAGCCATATTGACCCAGTAGACTCGGTTTTGACCGAAAATGATGGTTTTGACCTGAAACATCCCAAAACTCATTTTTTATCCCGGTCGACATGGTAGGACCTATATTGACTTGGTGGACTCGGTTTTGATCGAAAGATGTAGTTGACCCGAGATGAATATATTTAAAAAAAAAAAATTTATGAATAATAAAATAAAATAACATTAGAGAAAATTTTTAAAAAAAAAATTTATGAATAATAAAATAAAATAACATTAGAGAAAATCTTAGCGAATCCAAAATTAAGTTACAACAATACCAATGATAGGTCATATTCAAAGCTATTATAATTGCTAATTAGAGAAAATTCCTCTTAGGGTAAGGATAAACCACAATAATTGACTCTGAATAATCATATCCAGTAATAATAAAAGGGTTTAAATACATTAAGAAAAAAACATCTCCTAATTTTACGACCTCAACTACTTAAAACAAGGAATTCAAATAGCTATAGTTAAACCAAATCCTCAAGCAATTGATGTTTCTTCACATCCCCTGCATATGGAACGAGTCCTACATGATTCATGCATGTCATAAACCATGGATTCTTGATAGGAACACGTAGTAACCTTCTTGGTGGTTTACTAAAAGAGCTATAGACATTCCATTCATAAAGCTAAAGACAAACCCTACATGATCACACTTCCATCAGAGAATATTAATGAACTAGAAATCGAAACATTGCTTAAGCTATAATCAGAGGTGAAGGCGATAGGTAGGAGTGGCGCACAGATGGTTTGCTCTCGGGGTTACAAGACTAAACGCTTCAGTCATGTCCAATTCCTCCGGCAACATATTGTTAGGAAGCTCCCAATCAAAGCAATGCACCAGCTGTGCCACAATTTGCCGAACCATGGTTAGTCCCAAATGCATTCCAGGGCAGCTCCTGCGCCCTGACCCAAAGGGGAGAAGCTGGAAATCGCGTCCACGAACATCTATGTTACTCCCAGCAAACCTCTCTGGAATAAACTTATTTGCATCAGTCCAAGCACTTTGGTCGCGTCCAATAGCCCAAACGTTTAAAATAACACGTGTTTTTTGCGGGATGAGGAATTGCAATTGGAGGGATGTAATCACCCAGGTTAAAACTAGCTGCTAAACGCATGCCCTCGTGAATCACTGGTTTGAACCCCTTCTCATCAAATTCCCTTTCCAAGTATTTCTTTCCAAAAACCATCCTACAACTGATGTCAGCGCTTAGAGATGAGACCTTGGAACCAATATCAACAGCAACACGCTCACGAGAAGCATCTTTAATGTAGTCAATCAAGAGGTCAAGCTCTTCTTTCCTCGTGGACATGAAAGAATTTATTTTATGGTTGCTAAGCAACTCAAGGGTACACATCTTGCGCACGTTGCGCCAATAAGTGCCATATGGAGCAAATGATAAGCTCTTCTGCTCGTAAGAGATATGCTTCGCAGCCTCATTTGGTGGCCTATTAGCAAACACGAGGTCATTGGTCTTAAGAATCAATTCGGCAGCCTGAGGCGATGAGACAACTACAGTAGGCACCAAGCCTAACCGCATATACATGATAGGGCCGTACTTCTTTGCTAGTTGATGCAAGTCATGGTGAGGGAACTTCCCTAGCAAATGTAAGCAACCAAATATAGGAAATCCTATTGGCCCTGGGGGTAACTTGCCGTCCTTGATCTTTCTTTTCGACAGCCAAGCTCGGAGGAAGAAAGCGAGCGCAATCAAGGCTAGAGTGGTTAATATCCAAGCCATGCTATGTTTGATATATTAAGGTTGGATTCTATGTGCCAGTGGTGAGCTATAACAAGCTTTTCTTATTGAAAGCAAACTTAAATCCAACTCTTGTTTAATAAAGAGAAGACGCTACATATAGTCGTAACTAGGTAGATTATAACAGGGATAAGTTCAATGTCCTTGTTTTAATCGCTTCTTGTTTTTTTCTTTTGAAGAAAGGGATCAATTGTGAAAATGTGAACTCAATTATTTGTCTCAGTTTGGTTCCACCAATTCCACTAGTAGGAGGAAATAAATCAAGAAAAAGACATCTATGTGAGTATAGAGGTGTGCTTTCTGGCTTGTAAGAGTGGTACATAGACACTTGGGATATGTAGCGTCTGTTTGTTTCTCTTTTTTTTCAATGAAATTTTTTCATTTTGTTACTTGAAATTATTTTCTTTTTTATTTCAAAAATATTTTAAAAAATCTAATATTTTTTCTTTTTTCTTTTCTTGAAATTAATATATTTTTATATTTTTATATTATTTTGATGTGCTAATTTTAAAAATAATTATTTAAAAAATTACTTTAGTGTATTTTAAAATAAAAAATATTTTCAACCATTATTATATTTTTAACCACTTTTTAGCCGGATATGAACAGTTAGTCATGCGTGGGAAAGTTAAGCCAAACCACAAAATTTAGTGAGATTTATTATCTAGCCAAAGCCAAACCACAATTGAATATTCTTTAGGTGCTGTTCAAGCTTAGCCGATCTAGACTATTTCAAGGGAGTGATATTTTAGCTTCTTCTGCTCGATAAAAATTGTTGTATGGCCAATAGAGATCTATTAGAAAGAGTTAAATAGCTTCTTCTTTCTTAGGCTCTTACCCTACCTTTGAGATTTTCTTTGTTTTGTTTTTTTTATCATATCCTACCAAGTGAAAAGGACAGATTGAGACCCTTGTAATATTATTTTCTTTCTAATTTCGACTTTTGGTATGAAGCCAGGAACAGCTGAGATACCAATTTCTAATCTTTGTTCTGTACGTTAACATGGGCTGCTTTCTATTGTATTACATGAGTTATATTATTGCAAAATTAAATGAACATTGCTGGAATGAAAATGACGTGAAAGCTACCGGCCTTTTCTTTTATCTCGCATAGCGCGAGCCCCGTGCTGATTGCGTGCAGCATTTTTTGTGCTCAAGTCTTGCTCTCAAGTCCAGTCTCAAAGGTTATGTCTCATTCTTTTAGGTCATTATCTTTATTTTTAACCCATTAGCATGGCTTGATGTTCTTAGACCTAGTGTGTGTCTTAAACCCATTCTACTTCTTCTAGTGGTAATACATGTGTAAAAGATATCTTTTTTTTATTAATACATGTATAAAAGATATTTATATTTCATAAATATTATCATTATAAAATTATTCTTTAGATCTTCCATTAAAAACAAATCAAGGTTTAAGAATTATAAATACCCCATGAACTACCTAAATAAAAAGGTTCAAGACTTCACATTCAAAAGACATATATATTCAACACAAAAATCACTTTGTTACTATAATTTAAGGCTCACAAGCATATTTATCACTCATTTTTTCTATAATATTGCATATTCCTCAAATTCCCCAAAATAGAACTTTTTGTAGGTATCAAGAATTATTCATCAAGAGACAATTTCCTTTATTTTGGAGAAAATAGTCATTTGAATGGAAATTTTATCAATATATAATTCAACCACCAAAAATACCTTATTCCAAAGCACATCAAATTTTTAAAATCATCAATTGTCATTGTTTATGGGAAAACCAAAAAAAAAATACCATCAGTTTTTTTATTATTATTTATACATGACATTTCAAGATCATTCCATGACGAATAACCAATAAACACTCGAACTTGGATGCATAACAAATCTACCTCTTAACACAAGTACTTTTACCCATCTAGAATTCCAACAACTTATTAATTAAGTATAACTTCTAATTCAAGCAATGGTAGCTACATAGGGGCAAAATCGAGTTGTGTTACCCCAACAAGTCTTGACACCCTTAGTAATATCAAAGGCCTTAATACCACCATAAAAAGTCGCTCCACACTCGAACTTGGATGCGTAACAAATCTACCTATTAACACAGGTACTTTTACCCATCTAGATTTCCAACAACTTATTAATTAAGTACAACTCCTAATTCAAGCAATGGTAGCTACGTAGGGGCAAAATCGAGTTGTGTTACCCTAACAAGTCTTGACACCTCATAGGCCTTAATACCACCATAAAAAGTCGCTCCCAATACACGTAAGCAATTATGCTACTTTGAAAATTCTAGGCAAAACAACATTTGAGAAAGTGTCATCCCTCAACATTCATCGAGTCCCATAAAGGATCGCTCCCATCATCATGATACCTTTGCATAAAGTGGGTATTCAAGGCATGTTACTTCTCATTACCATGGGATGGGTAATTGTCACGACCCGATTCCCAGATCCATGACTGGCACATAGGTAAGGTTCCTCTTCAAACTTCCATACCAATGCGAACCAAAATTTACATATAATATTATCTTTTAAACAACTGAATCAGAGTTCAACGCAGCATTAATAATAAAATTAACTTCATAATAGTAAGCTTCCTCTTCAAAATTCCATACCTATGCGAACCGAAACTTACATATAATATTATCTTTTAAACAACTCAATCAGAGTTCAACACAGCATTAATAATAAAATTAACTTCATAATAATTTGATTGTATTAATACAAGGATTAATACAAATTTATAGTTGTGGAGCGCTAACTAGACATAAAGAAAAATACAAATTTCAATAAATGAGCAGATCTTGAGGTCTAACAAAATAACTTACTGACAAGCTATAAGCCTGAAAAGATAAATAATGAGAGGGTGAATTCAACAACTCATTAAGTAGATAATGTTCAACATACACACATGAAGTAATACAACAATGAGAAATATATATACAATTGGCTTTAGGTTATTATAGGAAGGTTCCTCAAATAGGTCATAACAAGAATATCATAAGGTAAAGCTCATCAGAAAATCAAAACGCAATAAGTATACACAGGTTGGTAACTCCCTTGACCAACTAGAGTATAAGGCTCCATACTATGGGATGATTAGTCCACACAGGTTGGTAACTCCCTTGACCAACTAGGGTTCAGATACTATGTGCACAAAGACTAACATTACTCTATTAACATGGGTATTCTAATTAACATACCATAGGTTCATAATCATAATTAAATAGATATTTTTATATCTCAAGGCTCAACGCATGACATCAATCAAATAATAAGTTATCAATTCAAAAGTTAATTTAAAATATATACTGGTACATATCAAGAATTTAGATTCAACAATTGATCATGATTTATCATCTACTGGTACATATCAAGAATTTCGATTCAATAATTGATCATGATTTATCATAATAAGGATAATAATCAACATGTATATTATCAAGAAACATGATCCAATTCATATCAACAAATCAAATATTTATAATATTTCTCATGCATATGAACAATTATCCCCTCCCCTGACTTAAAAAAAAACATAACTCAAAGCTGATACCAAAGTAAATCCTACCGATGTCCCGCCGGCAGAATATCAGGATTATCTAAATACAAATGAAACATATTCAAGAATGACTCAAAAGAACATATAACCTATTTAATATACTTAACTAAGAGTCTATTCCATAACCCTAAATGTTTTTAAACTAAACTAGTTATTTTTTAAAAAACCTAAAATTAAACGGTTTTTCTGAAATCTAATCTATAATAAAAAAACAAAATTGGTAATAATTCACTAAATAACCCTCATTTATTCATCAAAGAAATCTGAGAAAGCTAATATTACAACTAGGTACCAATCTAGAATTTATCAGATTTTTAGGGCCAAATTATAATTTTCATCTAATTAAAAGACCAAACTAAAAATATCACAAATTCATGAATATAGTGGAATTATGTTTATAATTCATTCTTATTTCTGTCCAGAATCTCTAATTATGCTCCAGGAACCATTATATCTTATTTCTTTCCAGAATCTCTAATTATGCTCCAGGAACCATTATAGAATTTTTCCAAATTTTTAGGGTCAAATTGTAATTTTTGTCAAATGGGAGGACCAAACTAAAAATATCATAAATCCATGAATATACTGAAATTATGACAATATTTAATCATAAATTATGTTCAGAATATCTCATTATGCTCTAGGGACCATTCCAGAATTTTTCCAAATTTTTAGGGTTAAATTGTAACTTTTGTCAAATTAGAGGACCAAATTGAAAGTTTTAAAATTTCATAACTATTCAGAAATTCTGCCCATAATTCATCTTTTATTATGTTCAAAATCTCGGAATATGCTCCAAAGACCAATTTGTAATTTTTCAAAGTTTAGGGACTAAACAGTAATTTTCACAAATTGAGGGACCAAACCAAAATTTTATCACAAACCCAGAATTTCAACAGAAAACCTACTATTCTTTCCAAATTTCTAATCAAAATTCATCATTTACACAAATCATAACTCAAATCTTCATCTTTACCTACAATCTCTCAAAATCAACTAAATAATCAATTACCTATAACAATCAACCCTATATCATTTAAATTAATTTATCAATCAAACCTAAAATAAAATCTTTAAAACCCTAAAATTCATCAAAACTGAAATTTAAAGTTCAACGAACACATTTATAAATTTGGAAACCTAAATCTTACCTTTAAAGTTGTTTTCCTCCAACTCCTTTTTATTTCCCTTATCTTTCCCTCTTTTCTCTTCTTCTTCTTCTTTCTCCCTTCACTCATGCCAACTCTCTCTCAAAATTTACAAGTCTCTTTTTTTTTTTCCTATTTATATTTATCAACTCATTGTTCAATTACTACAATACCCCTTATTCATTTATACTTACTCTTTAAGCCTTTAAGGGCTTTATTGCCATTTCCTATATTTTTAATCCAAAACATCACAACAATAGCTACCAATCTCATCATTCCGCACCAGAATATTCAAGTTCCATGAAACCAAACAAACAAAAAGCTGAAAGGAAGTTAACATTTAAGCGCGTCTAAAAAGATGCCTACAACCTTCATCAAATGCGGAGCCCTCCCCTGTCTAGACAAGTTTTAAATATCTGAATTCCTCAAG